TCTCCCATAGAATGCCCCTTGGAAATTTTTCATCGTTTGAGTATATTTCTTTTAAAATGGAACAAAAGCAATCTTCTACTCTTTTCATTGTCCTGTACAGGCCACCACAGTCATGTTGCGATTTTATTGACCATTTTACTGAACTACTTTCATTCGTGTGCACAGATTTTGATAGTTTAGTTATTACAGGTGATTTTAATGTACATGTTGATAATGTTGATGACAGAAATGCAAAGGAGCTGGCTTCTGTATTTGAGACCTTTGGTTTCATTCAGCACGTGAGTGGCCCCACCCACAGCAGGGGGCACACTCTTGACCTGCTAATTACAAAGGGGGTTAATGTATCAAATGTTAATGTAGTTGATGTTGCTTTGTCAGATCATTTCTGTGTATTTTTTGACATGTGTTTTGCTAGCAAACCACCAGCTGAATTTACAAATGTTAGAAGAAGACACATACATGAAAACACAAGTGAACTGTTCATGGGAATGCTAAATTTTGAGAAAACTCCATGCTCTACTGTTGATGAATTGTATAACTCTGTCACCACCAGTGTTCTGACTGTTCTGGACGCCATTGCTCCTGTGACGGTTAAAATAGTTACCAGTAAGAAAAAGGCCCCATGGACTAAGGCAGACTCGGTTAGGGCACAGAAGCAAGAGTGCCGGAGGGCCGAACGGAAGTGGCGAAAGTCCAATTTCCAGGGCGATTATGAAATCTTTAAAGATGAGTTGGGTGAATTTAACCGGGTTCTACGTAGAACAAGAGAAATGTATTTTTCTGACATTATTGGAGGTTGCAGTAACAATTTTCGTGTTATGTTTTCAACAGTTGGTAGATTAACGAACCCCCCTGTAAAGTTGCCCCTAGAATTTTCCTCTAAATCTAGGTGTAATGAGTTCGCACAGTTTTTCGATGACAAAGTACAAGGAATCAAAAACACTATCACCTCCACAGCACGTATAACAATGCAACAGCCAGAGAAGCTTTTTGAGCTAACTCACTTTGCACCTGTGGATACTGAAACTGTCAAAAAGATAATCATGAGTCTGAGCTCCTCCACATGTAGCCTGGATATATTGCCCTCTAAATTTCTGAAGTCCGTCCTGAGCAGTTTGTTACCTTCACTGACACAAATAGTAAACATGTCTCTGTCGTCAGGAACATTTCCTATGGCCCTAAAAACAGCAGTCATAAGACCTCTCCTAAAAAAGAGCAGTCTGGATCCTGCGGGACTTCAAAATTATCGCCCCATATCAAATCTGCCATTTATTGGAAAAATTCTTGAAAAAGTGGCCTCCCAACAACTTACTGAATTTTTAACAATGAATAATTCTTTTGATATGTTCCAGTCTGGGTTTAGACCCCACCACAGCACTGAGACCGCTCTAGTGAAGGTAACAAACGACATTCGACTTCACACTGATGCAGGTAAAGTCACAGTTTTGGTCATGTTAGATCTTAGTGCCGCGTTCGACACTGTCGACCATGAGATCCTCATGCAGAGACTGGAGGACTGGGTTGGTGTCACTGGCACAGCCCTAGACTGGTTTAGGTCTTACCTGGAGGATAGGAAGTACTCTGTGGAGATTGGAGACTGCGTCTCAGATGATGTGGCCCTGACCTGTGGTGTACCACAGGGGTCGATCCTGGGACCTCTCCTATTTAATCTCTACATGCTGCCGTTAGGTCAGTTAATACAAAGAAACAAAGTGTCCTACCACAATTACGCTGACGACACTCAGATCTATGTCTCACTGACTGCAGGAGAACATGGACCACTGGATTTGCTCCTTCACTGTATCCAACAGATCAGTGACTGGATGCAAAATAATTTCCTCCAGCTAAATGCAGACAAAACCGAAATCATTGTCTTTGGTCCCCAGAAACAAAGAGAGGGCGTCATTTGTCAACTTCAGTCTCTCTCCCTACTTCCTTCAGACAAGGTCAGAAATTTGGGGGTAATACTGGACTCAGACCTAAATTTCAATAGCCACATAAAATCAATAACATCAACAGCTTTTTACCATCTGAAGAACATTGCCAAAGTTAGAAATATAGTGTCCAGGGCAGACTTGGAGATTCTTGTCCATGCATTTGTCTCCAGCAGGCTAGACTACTGCAATGGCCTGCTTACAGGTCTGTCCAAACAGACCTGTAAGCAGCTGCAGTACATCCAAAATGCAGCAGCTAGAGTCCTGACAGGAACCAGGAAGTATGACCATATTAGTCCGGTCCTCAGGTCTCTGCACTGGCTTCCTGTGGCTCAAAGAATAGATTTTAAAACGGCTCTGCTTGTGTACAAGTCTCTCCATGGCCTTGCACCAGAATACATTAGTGACATGTTGGTGTCATATGAACCGGCCCGGACTCTGAGGAGCACAGGGACTGGCCTCCTGCTGGTGCCCAGAGTGAGAACCAAACATGGGGAGGCTGCGTTTCAGATCCATGCAGCTAAGATCTGGAACAATCTCCCTGAAAATGTGAGGGAGGCGTCTACTCTGTCAATGTTCAAATCCAGGTTAAAGACTGTTCTGTTTGCCTGTGCATATAACTGAAGGATTTTATCTCCATTTTTAATGCACTGCTGTCATTTATTTATTTTTTTAAATTTCTTGTGTAATTTTGAAAGTTTTAATGGTTTTATTCTTTTGTGTGATTTTAATGTTTTAATTGTGTTTTAATCTTTTGTGTGATTTTAATGTTTTAATTGTGATTCTGGTGTTTGTTTTATGTGATGATTTGTGATGTGGACTGTGAAGCGCTTTGTGTTGCCCTGTGTATGAAAGGCGCTCTACAAATAAACTTTGATTGATTGATTGATATGTACCTGTGTCTATATGTACCTGTGTCTATATGTCTATATGTACCTGTGTCTATATGTCTTATAGAAGTGCCGAATAGATCCCTAATAAATTAAATAACGCCTCAGGTTAGCTTCATTCTCAACACTTTCTGCTCATGCATTCCTCCAGTGTACAACCAGTGAGTATTTAATAACACAGTACGCATATTTACACATCAGAATGAATGGCTCTCTCTCTCTCTCTCTCTCTCTCTCTCTCTCTCTCTCTCTCTCTCTCTCTCTCTCTCTCTCTCTCTCTCTCTCACTCTCTCACTCTCTCACTCTCTCACTCTCTCACTCTCTCACTCTCTCACTCTCTCACTCTCTCACTCTCTCTCTCTCTCTCTGAGAGACAGAGTGAAGCCTCACTTTGGAGGCTGCACCCTTGTTGGGCTTAGGCGCTGTTTAGTCTGACAGGCCTGCTCCTGTCGCTGCTGTAAGCCACGTTGTTGTGTGTGTGTGTTTGTGTGCACGTGCTCGGAATACTAATGCGCAAACTTGTGATCCCATGTGAACCAAGCCGGCACTATTTATTATGCAACTGGCAAGCAGCGAGTCAGAGCTGAGCCGCAGACACAGCGATGGATGGATAAACAGGCAGAGGAGCCAGGGCGAGCGTGACACTTTGTTCTGAATGCAGATATGGGCGACGCCGAAGCTTTAGCAGGGTGTACAAAGTTAGTGCCTGTTGTGATGAGACTGTAGAACTTTCCAGAACAAAAATAAGGACGTATTACGTTAACAAAAAAGAAACCATGCAATATAAATCCTCCAGTATAATGAAATTGACTTTTAAATGTCTGAACAACTGTGTGTCACCACTGTTCTCTGGCCTCATGGTGAGGTGTCAGGGCTCTCTCAGACCTTCCACCAGAGCCTCAGTTAGCGGGGATTGTGTGCTCCCAAAGTTTAGAAAATCTTTTGGACAGTCGAGCTTCTCCTAAGGCTGCGAGTGGCGTCATGTCCCAGGTGGAACCAGTCCAACCAGAGCTAGTTCCCGGGGGACAAATGGAGTGTTAAAGTTCCTCTGCAGCAGTGTACATTAAAATGCAATGCGTGATTTATTATGGCAACAAGATGAGAGCGAGAGTAGAAAACAAGCAGACGACAAGCAGAGGCGTGTAAGGCAGAAGGACGCCTCCAACATCATCAACACTGGAGGGGGTCAATTTGGGACCACCGACACTGGACAGGGTCAATGTGGACCACCGCCACTGGACAGTGTACAGGGACCTCATGTCCCTTTTCCAGTCACCGTGAGCAGTAACATATTCAGTTTTCTGGAGCAAACACCTGTAACTCACAGCCTTCTGCAGAGGGAGTGTATTCTCTCATATTCTTGGACCCTTCTTTACAGAGCATGTATCTGAGACACTTCCATAAACACTCCAAAAAAAAAGCACATTGTTCAACAGTTTTTGCTAAATAAATCACAAAATATATCTACGCTTTCAACTGTTGGAGTCAAATTGTTAAAAACTAAAGGGAAATGCATTTAAATCTCTCCCTGAAAGGAGGTTTCTGGACCTGGACCTGCTGCGATCCTCAATGAGAGACCTTTGAGTCGTGTAGAAAAGGAGTGAGGTCCGTGTCTCCTCCTCTGGGCAAATGTTCAAATGTTTTTATTATGGTCCGAGGCACAGAGCAGCCGCTGGATCCACCACAATAACCCTCCGCCACAGAGAACAGGATCCAGGCTGAGGTGGGCCACAGACAGAGGCGGGCCACAGACAGAAGCGGGCCACAGACCTGGATTATGTCGTTGTTTTAGTTCATTCAGATTTGACCGATCCATGATTTCAGAAAAAGACTAACACGAACATTGATGCTTTTACAAACAAAAATGTCAAACTACAGAAATTTACAGAGGTATTTGTTTTGCGTGTGGGGAACGTTCTCAGAGTCGTCGATTGATCGAGTGGAAAACTGCTGATTTACTAATTCAACAATTCCATGCACCCAAAGCAAACACTAACACATGGTCTCCTCACATGGTGCCCAAAGTAACACATGCAGAGGTACAAAAGGAAAAGCGGAAACAGCTAACATAGCTCATAATCAGTCCGAGATCATAGTGAGTCCTGCACAGTGGAGGAGGAGGCGGAGGAGGCTACACTCTGAAGCTCTCTCCTTATGGAGGAGGAGGTGGAGGAGGCTACACCCTGAAGCTCTCCCCCTTGCCGTCGATGTGGCGGAGGCGCAGGTAGACGTCGGTGCCGATGCCCTGCATGGACTGGATGGACAGAGAGCCGCCCAGATACTCTGCATAGGCTCTGGAGGTGGGCAGGCCGAAGCCAAACCTGTCAATCACACACTTCATTATGTATATATACATGACACACCAGACTATGGTAAAATATGGGCAGAGGAGAGAGAGGAGCAGGGAGGAGGTGCCACAGGCCTCACCCGTGCATGGGCCCAGACTGGACTCCGCTGTTGGTGATGTTGTTGAACAGGTTGTTCATTCGCGGGTCCTGAGCGCTCTCCTCCGCGGTGCTGAAGTGATAATCCATCACTTTGTCCAGGATGTGGTGAGGGATCCCCCCCCCACGGTCCGAGATCCTAAAGAGGGGGAGGGAGGGGGAGAGAGAGGGAGAGACACAGAATATGTAATTAGGGGTGTTTTAGGAATGAACCATTTCCACATGTTTAAAGCTGAGACTAGGTTTTATTTCCACTGTGTTCTTGGCAGTAATCCGACTCTACATCAGCCACACATCAGACTGTGGTAAGGATGTGGACTCCGGCAGAGGCCTAGACCCTGGTGGTGGGAGCTCGGAAAAGGATGAAAGAACTAGATGGGGAGGAGGAGGGTTGCGGCGTGAGTGGAGCTGCTGCTTGGATGGTGCTTCCTCGATCTGAAGCTGATGGGGGCAGTGCCTGATGCTACCAGGAGGGGGCAGTGTGAGCGTGACTGATGTGGACTGACCCGCCTGGAGCTGCTTCAGTCCTGCACCGGACCTGTCCATGTTCTGTACCTTAGGTCCTGGATCTACAGCCTCAGTCCTGGATCTACAGCCTCAGTCCTCGTTCTACAGTTTGTCATTGGTTTGAAAATAACTACGAATATAACTAATCCTCAGTGTGAGTACTGACACTGACCTGATGACTCGGTGTGAAGACTGACACTGACGACTCTGAAGACTGACACTGACCTGATGACTGACAATGACCTGATGACTGTGTGTGAAGACTGACACTGACCTGATGACTCGGTGTGAAGACTGACACTGACCTGATGACAAAGTCCATGTTGTTGTTGGCGATGGTCACCACCACATCAGGGACGTTATAGGGAGTGTCCAGATGACTCTCCATGGTGGCTCTGAGGGGGACAGAGAGACAAGTCAGGGAGCGAGAGAGAGAGAGAAAAAGGTCAGAGACAAAGAAAGGTCAGAGAGAAAGAGAGACAGGTCAGAAAGAGAGACAAGTCAGAGACAGATGAGAGAGAAAGAGAGACAGGTCATAGAGCAAGAAAGACAGGTCAGAGAGAGAGAGAGAGAGACAGATCAGAGAGAAAGAGAGACAGGTCATAGAGAGAGAAATATCAGAGAGAGAGAGAGAGAGAGACAGGTCAGAGACAGAGAAAGGTCAGAGAGAAAGAGACAGGTCATAGAGAGAGAGAGACAGGTCAGAGACAGATCAGAGAGAAAGAGACAGGTCAGAGAGAGAGAGAGACAAGTCAGAGAGAGAAAGACAAGTCAGAGAGAGAGACAGGTCAGAGAGAGAAAGAAACTCACACAGACCCACACGCACACACACACACACACAGACAGACACACACACACCTCATGGCGTTCTTCAGCAGCTCTGGCAGGATGTAGTCCAGGGGGAGGGGGATGAAGGGGAAGCGAGCCGCGACGTGACCATTGATCCGGACACGAGGAGAGTTCCCATACTGGTGCTCACAGAGACGCCTGGGGACACGAGAGAGACACACAAGAGAGAGACACGAGAGAGACAGTGAGTGTAATTTAATGTAAACAGTAAAATGTTTCAGTTTGGAAGGTGCCAGAGTTCACTTTAGATCAACGTCTGCAGAAACATGTGAGAACACACCCTGCTCTGTGGGAGAACGTAGAGCACCGACTCTGCGGCGGGCCGTAGAGCACCGACTCTGCGGCGGGCTGATAATGGACAAGTGTCAGTGCTGGTCCTACTGGACCTTAGTGCTGCATTTGACACGATAGACCACAGCATTCTACTGCAGAGGCTAGAATGTGATATAGGTCTTAGAGGAACAGCCCTTGGCTGGTTTAAATCCTATTTATCTGATCGGTATCACTTCGTCAACGTAAATCAGAACTCGTCGCCTTATTCTGGAGTAGAATTCGGTGTGCCGCAGAGTTCTGTTAGTATTAGATAGCAATATGGCCTACGTGCAGGACTCTACAAGGACTCTACAAGGACTCCATGTTATGACTATGATGTGACTGTCTCTTTGTGACACGTATGTCTTTCCATGTGTGACGTGACAATGACTATATAAACTGTGTACTGCCTTTATTCTGTCTGGGAGAAAGAAACAGAGTAAACCAGTGGAACTTGAGAGAAACTTAAATAAACTTCCAGAGTTTGGCACACCACGATCCGTCTCTGTCTGCTAAATCCTAACAGTTCGGTACTCGGACCGATTCTTTTTACTCTCTACATGTTGCCGTTAGGAAACATTATTAAAAAGCATGGAATTAATTTCCACTGCTATGCAGATGACACACAGCTTTATCTGTCGATGAAGCCAAATCAGACAGATCAGCTAGAAAAGCTCAGTGCCTGCATAAAGGACCTTAAAATGTGGATGACTCTTAACTTCCTACTTCTCAACCCGGAGAAGACAGAAGTGATCCTACTCGGTCCGAAGCGCCTGCATGACTCCCTTACTAACCAGATAATCACTCTCGATAATGTCAGTATTGTACCCAGTAACACTGTGAGGAAACGTTGACCAAGAACTCTCCTTCAAGGCTTATATAAGCCAAGCAACTAAAACGGTGTACTTCCACTTACGGAACATTGCTAAAATTAGGAATTTCCTCCCTGAAAGTGACGCGGAAAAACGTATTCACGCGTTTGTCACCTCAAGGCTCGACTACTGTAACGCTTTATTGGCAGCGTGCCCTAAAGCCTCTTTGAAGAGCTTCCAGCTCGTTCAGAATACAGCAGCAAGGATCTTAACAGGTACCAAAAGGAAGGAGCACATAACTCCGGTGTTAAAATCACTCCACTGGCTCCCTGTGGAGTACAGAATAAAGTTTAAAAGCCTTCTCTTAACATATAAAGCCATAAATGGCTTGGCTCCTTCTTATCTCCAAGACACGTTAGTGTCGTATCAACCAAGTCGAGCGTTGCGCTCACAAAACGCCAGACGTCTGGTGGTTCCTAAGGTCTCAAAAATCACTGTTGGCGGCAGAGCATTTAGCTACCAAGCTCCTTTACTGTGGAATCAGCTTCCCATTTATGTTAAAGAGCAACTAAACACCTGTGCCCAGCCTTACTCCGCCCACGTGAAGATTTGAAAATGTTCTCTTAAAAGGGCATTGCCTGGAGGACCAAGGGACAAGAAGGGAGGCTTAGAGTTGGGCGTGGTCTGGGCTGTGATTGACAGCTCACTTGTCACACAAAAAAAAACAGACAGTTGTCATTGCTGCTTAAAGCAATAGTTTACAGACCAGAAAGTCTCATTCCACCCTTGTTTACACACTAAGATAATTGTAAAGCTACACACCTGAACCTAATCACACATAATAATCTCAGAATGACTCATGTAATTTAATTTTAATCCACTAGATGGCGCCAAAATACTCCAAACTGCAGCTGGGGCGTGTGTGAGAGTTGAATGGGTTCACATCACTGGCTCTGACAGACTGACGTCACACAAAACAACTGATGTCATAGAGAACTTCAGAGTCAATGGAGAGGCCAGAACCAAATTCAAATGCAGTACCACCAAAAAGGTTGAGAGGGCACCACACAGCGTTTTTTGGCTCAAAAGTGATATTTTATCTAATTTGAACTAAAATGTCAAAAAAATGACCAGGATATGTAGACAGCACTACAATAAACATACTTATGCAGTTTATGAGTTAAAAAAAGTTGATTTGGTGTTTAGTCGCTCTTTAAGGAAGCAGATACGGTCTCCACATTCAAGGCCAAGCTTAAAGCACTCTACTTTAATTTAGCATATAATTAGGTAATATATAATATATGGTGTATATATTATATATATATGCTGTATTATGTTATATATTATACAATATATGTATTATGTTATGTATTGTGTTATGTTGTATATTATGTTATATATTATGCTGTATGTTATGTTGTGTATTATATATGATATATATGGTATGTATGGTATATATGATGTATATAATATATAATTAGGTTTGCTTGGATGGATTTGCACACCTGGTGTGCAATCCATGAATCTTGGTGCTGTAACCTAGGCTAGCCTAGCCGTGGCTGCTGCTGTTGTCTCACCTCCTTTCAGATACGCTCTCTTTATTCAAGGCTAGGTTTAAAACAGTCCTCTTTAGTTTAGCATATGGCTAGGAAGGTAAGACTCAGAGAAGGCTAAACTCCTCAGACTGTCAGTCAAGCTGCATAGGGAGTCAGTTTGCTGGGAGAAGTATGGTAACTTGAGCACTATCCTCTCCTTTATACTTTATCCGTTTAGCATTTTTAGGATTTCGACTGTAGTTTGTTCATTGCTATTCACCCGTTGTCCCATTGTCTGTTTCATGGTACGATGACGGGATCTCTGAGCCTGGCCTCCTCCATCTACACCTGCGGACTGCCCCGCCCGACCCGCCTGGGAGTGCTTCAGTCCTGCACCCGACCTGTCCACGTTCAGCGGCCACTGGTCCACGTCCTGTAGCTAGCTTAGGTCCTGGATCATTAGCCTGTCTGTCCGGAGGAGCGGATCCCTTTCTCATATGGGTCTCCCTCCCTGTGGGTTTCCCTAGTTCTCCCCAAGGTTTCTCACTTTTTCCCACTGGGTTTTTTAAGAGTTTTTCCTTGTCGATGCAGGAGGGTCTTGTTGGACAGTTAGTGTCCAACAGAAAGGATTGGTGATGATCAGGACACTTTAGCATTCTACAACATGTATGGACATTTTCTTCTGTGTGTGCTTTATATTTTTCATGTGTTTTAACTGTTGATTCTCTGTGTTGGTGATTTCAATGGTTTTGTTAAGTCCTCTGAGATGACTTCTGTTGTGACAAGAATAAATTGTATTGTATTGTATTGTATTGTGTAGAGCTCCGACTCTGCGGCGGGCCGTAGAGCACCGACTCTGCGGCGGGCCGTAGAGCACCGACTCTGCGGCGGGCCGTAGAGCACCGACTCTGCGGCGGGCCGTAGAGAACCGACTCTGCGGCGGGCCGTAGAGCACCGACTCTGCGGCGGGCCGTAGAGCACCGACTCTGCGGCGGGCCGTAGAGCACCGACTCTGCGGCGGGCCGTAGACCCACTTGTTATTATAGATGTTGTAATACAGATGGTTGAGGTGTCCACAGTGGTGCAGTCAGAGTCAGAGCTGCAGAGTAAACAGTGTGGATAAGTTCAAGATAAGGTATCGCTCTCTGTGTGAAAGAGCAGATTAAAGCCGCCCTCTGACCTCTGACCCCTTCGGAGCGTGAGAAGCAGAGCACTCACCGAGCAAAGTCCACCCACTTCTCTATGATGCGTTTGGGAGAAAGACGTCTGCAGATGATGCCCACGAAGTCCGGCTGCAGGAGGTCAGAGGGCACAGGAGACAGGTCAGAGGTCACAGGTCAAAGGGCACAGGAGACACAAGTCAAAGGGCACAGGTCAGAGGGCACAGGTCAGAGCTGAGGTCTGAGTGACTCACATTGTCCTCGTGCAGAGCCAGGTGGTGTGTCGCCAACATGCGGATCCCGAGACGAGAACACAACGTGGTGTCAAGGAAACTACGCAGGATACTCTCGTCCTACACAAAGACGCACACACAGACACACACAAAATTGCATTTAATAATAAAATTGAGGCAGGGTATCATCCTCATCATCTGTCCTGGTCGGGGCCTGATTGGGTCCTGGTCGGGTCCTGGTCGGGTCTTGGTCCAGACCTGGATGTGTTTGCGGCTCTCCCTGAAGCCCTGGGCCAACATGGTCACCACGTCTTTATGATCGTCCAACAACTGCTGCACCAGTTTACAGAAGCGAGACTCCGTCTCCTGGTCTGTGATCTACATACACACAGACACACACAACACAATGTCAACATGGGGGTGGTAGCATCATGTTATGGAGCTTTTTTTCTGTGTGTGTGTTTACAGACCTGGGGGTAGTCGCTGACCATGTGATAGGCTCGAATGTACAACTCATGCTGAAAACACAAGAGAACAGAGAGAGGGTGAGACCAGAGAGAGAGAAACCAGAGAGAGAAACCAGCGAGAGACAGGGTGAGACCAGAGACAGACCAGAGAGAGAGAAACCAGAGAGATACCAGAGAGAGAGGGTGAGACCAGAGAGAGTGAGACCAGAGAGAGGCAGATGTGTCTTGCCTAAGGACACAACCACAGTTTGGCACTTTACAGCCACAGCTGTCCCACTGCGGCACCTGGTATTCCCAGAGGTTAAGTGTCTTGCTCAAGGACACAACGACAGCAGACATCAGTGGGAGTCGGTGGAGAAGGTCTTGTGGTGGGCTTGAACCCACGACCTTCAGGCTCAAAGGCCAAGGCTCTACCAACTGAGCCACCGTCGCCCCTGTGTACTGTACTGTACATTATACAGGACTGAACAGCTGTAAGTAGCAGCAGTGTGTACTTGCGTGTGGGTACATGCAGGGCACTCTGAACAGCTGTAAGGTCTCACCACTTGCAGGATGGTGGGGTTGCAGCCGATGATGAAGGGCAGGCTGCGGAACCCTTTGATGCGGTGAGCGATCCTCACCGGCAGCTCTTTGTGGAGGTACTTGGCACTGCTCTGGAACAAGAGCAAGAGTCACAACATGTGGAGATCTACAGTACTGTTGCCATGGTAACACATGACACTGTTACCATGGAAACACGTGACACTGTTACCGTGGAAACATGTGACACTGTTACCGTGGCAACACGTGACACTGTTACCGTGGCAACACGTGACACTGTTACCATGGCAACACGTGACACTGCTACTTTGGTAATACATGGAACTGTTACCACGGTAACACACAACCCTGTTACCATGGTAACACATGACACAGTTACCATGATAACACATGAACGTGTTACTATGGTAACAGATGAAGCTGTTACTATAGTAACAGATGAAACGGTTTGCTAAGTGTAAACTTCATTGTTGTAGCACAGTTATAATGGACCTGCTGATAATGGATCTGAAGTGTAAACATCAGAACATACACTGGAGTTACATGAGGCCTCTACCTGGATGTGAACACACAATGTCAGGTTTATTTGAAGAAAATGGTTTGAAACTTTCTGAGAGGAGACTTTTAGACGAGATCTTAAACAAACATTTCTGTGGGCCTTTATTTCAGACTTCAGCTAGTTTTCAATCAGAGCTTTTTAAATGACAATAAGTGTCACAACAAAGACATATACTGCACTCAAGGAGCACCTGAAGGAGCCCAAGTACCACTGACAAACTGCATTAGTAACAAAGGAGTCATGTGACCCGCAGCTGTCCAGTCAAAAGCTAAAACAAACCATTGTGTAAAGTGGCCTATTGTAGACCACAGTGCTAAGTCCTCAGACAATGGTGGTCCCCCCCTCCCAGGCCTCTCTGCCCCTCCCAGGCCTCTCTGCCCCTCCCAGGCCTCTCTGCCCCTCCCAGGCCTCTCTCACCCTCCTAGTCCCCCAACCCAGAAATGGATTAAGGGGAAGAAAATGGAACTGGAAGGATGTATAGATCCTTCTATTCTGGAAAAAACAGAGCTGCTTTCATCTGATAAAAGACAGAAAATATCAAAATGTGGAAGGAAGGTGTAGAATTTCATAACACTTTGAAGCAACTGTGGTAAAAGTTCAAACTCATCCTTCTTACATTTGCACATGCCAGTACTTTTCCTTTGTTTTGATTTTTGAAGGCCAAGATACAGAGCACCGTGGCAGCTGCTGATTGGAGTATATACAGTATTGCTTAGACACTTGCATTATGCCGTGTTCGTGCTGTCTACCATCAACAATAAAACATGTCTTCTGTCTGAATTAAAGACACGATCCCGGACTTTGTCATCTTCTTCAAAGGATTAGAATGAAGTGAGATCCTCGTCCCACAGTGAAATGTCAGTGTTGCATTCGCAGTTACAAAGGAGTAGATTTTTTGTTTTGTTTTTAAAGTGAAAACCTGCACTCACCAGGATGTGATGTCCGTCTGGAGATTTCCCAGAATACAGCAGCGTGGCGAGCATGAGCCGCACCGAGGCCTACACACACACAAAGTCAGCTTATTATGAAATTACACACAACGATAACTTCTTCTCAGACACACAACATCGGAGTAAACGATCTCACACCTGAGACTCCAACATGGATTGAATATTATTGTCCAAAGGAGACAATGAAACAGTTTAGGGCCCAGTCCAGACTGTCTGACATGGAGGAGGCTCCTGGGGTCAGGGCTGAGGAAACGGTCTGACCTGGAGGAGGCTCCTGGGGTCAGAGGTCATGTCAACGCTGTGTGTTGTGACGTCACAGAACAACTCTGAGTTTTAAGTCCAGAAGATCATGAATGTGTGGTCAGTGGTGTCAGTGTGGTCTGGTCCCTCAGACAGAACATGTGGTCTGACTTTAAAACTGCTGTTTTTGATCATGGGGAGATTAATGAACTGCAGATTCAGAGTTTACAGATGTAGAAAGAAGCAAAACAGCTGAGATATATCTGTGAAACTAATTCTGGACCAAAATAAACTAAAGTAAGAATCAAAGTTAACACACAACATGTCAGCAGGCGACTGTTAACTGGGTTTGATTCCCAAACCACTAAATGCTCATTGGGGGAAAACTAATTTGTTTGGATGTTTTTCACTGGCAGGTGCCTGTGCTGGCCAGAGGCCCCTGCAGGAGGCCCCTGGGCTCGGCCCCAGCAGCACATGCACCAGACTGGTCCGGTCCCACATTCTTCAGTGGAGGTCAGTGCTGTGTAACCCTCCTGCACCAGTGCAATGTCATGCCCAGCGGCTGCCAGCACGTCCCGGGCCAGGGCTCAGCGGGAGGCCGTAGGGTCATGCTAGAGCCTCTGAAGCGGACAAACATGTGAGAAGTACCGTGCCGTGCAGAGGCAGTGTCCTGGAGCGTTAGCTTAAGGCTAGCTCCGGTTAGCTTCAGCACAATCTGTGGCGACATGAACTGAGCATGCGCCGAATACTACTCCATATCTTTGTTGAATAAATGATCTAACGGTATAAAAACATGGTGCACTATTTCCACAATGATGGTTCTTCTTAGAGAGAGCTGGGAACACGCAGACAGGAAAAGAGACGGTGGGAAGCTGAGGACTATTCCAGCCCGAGTTTGTTTACAGTCGGTGTGATATATATGAGTATATATGTATATACACACTTGTATATAAATGAATATACATGTATATACGTGTATAAATATACACGTATACATGAGCCCAGTGGGTGTCAGTCCCCCTCTCACCTTCTCCGCAGACACATCGATGGCAGACTGGTTGTAGAAGGATGTGACGGTCTTGGACCTCTCCCGGGCCAGCTCGGACAGGCCCTGCTGCATGGAGGAGGTGGAACGCTGCCTACGGCTCCCGGGACCGGAGAGAGGGGATGTTGGAGGCAGAGGCAGGAGTCTGCAGAGGCCCAGGGCCGCGCGGCGACAGCTCCCGCTCAGCATTGCCACAGCTGCGGCTACAGAGCAGCCTCTCACCCGGGACAAGGCGCACTAACACGGGGCCATGAGAACCGGGCAGCAGCGGGGCCCGTACACTGGACTCATCTGATCGTACAGTAGGACAGAAGGCAGAGCCAGGGCTACGCACTCTGAGGGGCGGGGCTACGAGGAAGGACCACGGGCTGAGCCAATCAGGGAGAGGGGGGAGGAGGAGGAGGAGAGCGAGGCAGCATCATCCGAGCTGAAGACCGTCTGCTCTACAGGACTGAGGACTCCGGGTACTGTCTGTCTGGTTTCCCCTGTGGTCATGAGCTTTGGGGACGCTCTGCAGAAATAGTCACACTCTGAGTAGAGCTGCTGCTCCTTCATGTTAAGAAGATCCAACAGAAGGGCATGTCCCACCAGCACTGGATGAGGAGGAGTGCTGCCTCTGTGACCCGGCCATAGATGAAGCAGAAGGACTGGTCTGAGTAGAACGAGCCGGTGGAATATGTTAGGTGGAATACCCAACATCTGGAGGGTTCCACTTTGTTCCATGGTCCCACCTGGTGTTTGGTTCCATGATTCCATCTGGTGTTGGGTTCCATGATCCCACCTGGTGTTGGGTTCCATGATTCCATCCGGTCTTGGGTTCCATGGCTCCATGGTCCCACCTGGTGTCAGGTTCCACTTCTGCTTCATCCAGAAAAGTGACACAAACCATTTAAACTTATTTGATTTAGATGAAAGCTCCACAGTCCGAGTGTTCTTCTGTATGGACCTCCTGTTACCACGGCGACGCTCTCTCTCCTGTTACAACGGCGACGCACTCTCTGTTACTATGGCGACGCTCTCTCTCCTGTTACCACGGCGACGCTCTCTCTCCTGTTACAACGGCGACGCACTCTCCTGTTACTACGGCGACGCACTCTCTCCTGTTATAATGGCGACACTCTCCTGTTTCCACGGCGAAGCACTCTCTCATCCTCTGACCCTTATGTCGTTCTCGGGTCAAAGTGACACGCCTCAAAAACACCCACATTTTTTTTATTTTTAACCAGAATTTTCAGATTTTTCCCCAAATTTGACCAGAGTTGGTTAAACCCTAATTCACAGTATTTTTTTTTTTTCAAAAAAGATTATTCACATCTTTTAACCCTTTAATAGGTTCTATTACACGGTGGAGTTTGCATGTTCTCCCCGTGTCTGCGTAGGTTTCCTCCGGTTGCTCCGGTTTCCCCTACCACAAAAAATATGTACAATAGGTCTGGCATGTGTCTCCTGTACTGGCACCCCCACTCCCAAAAATAACAATTGTAAACCGCTTTGAGACTCCAATGTGCAGTGAAAAGGCGGTATATAAATAATTCTTTAACCATTTGGTGCATCATCTTTTGAGTCCCAGTTGTAAAATGAGTCCGATCTGAAACAAACGCTGCTCCATCTGAACACATCTTTGCTGTGTTTCTGTCACTTGGTTTTAGACACTTTTACATCACACCTCAACCGTTTGAAGAAAGCAATGTACATTTTTACCAGAGAGTGAACATTAAAACAAGAGAACAACAAAACTGCCTTCTTCAGAATTAACACTTTGTATCATTGTGTCCATTTATCAAAGACTGACTTTAAAGTCTAGATCTGACTTAAAGAGCTTTACTTTGATCTGTTTAGGTTGAACACGATACATCCACTATGAGGATTACAGGGACAGATGGAGGATCACAGGGACATATGGAGGTTCAGATCACAGGGACAGATGGAGGAGGTTCAGATCACAGGGACAGACGGAGGTTCAGATCAGAGGGACAGATGGAGGTTGATCACAGGGACAGATGGAGGTTGATCAGAGGGACAGATGGAGGAGGTTCAGATCACAGGGACAAATGGAGGTTGAGATCACAGGGACAGATGCAGGTCTCTATACCAGTGTTGCTTCATCACATTCTTCTGGCACCACTGCGCCCCCTGCTGGCAGAGTGAGCCCTGGACCTGGACTCGCTGGTCTTAATATTTGTATGTATTATTCCCAGGTAAAAAAAAAAGGTAAAACTACTGACCATTAAATACAATAACAAGTATTTAGTTACTCCAACACAGCAGTATTCGAGTAGTCATTAAAATGTAACTAAAATATAGATTAAGAAATGCAGTCATACATTAAACTGTGAGTCTTTTGACCAAAAACAAAAGTTTGTCATGTGACCTACCCCAGAGTCAGCCTAAGTCCTGGGTCTACAGCCTTTGGACAATTATCAACATGTGTGACATTTATCACATGTATGGACATTTATCAACATGTGTGACATTTATAGATAGATAAATACTTTATTGATCCCCCATAGGAGAAATTCAGGTGTCCAGCAGCAGAAGACTCTTTTCTTGTTGTTGTAGTACAGTCTGACAGCCGAAGGAACAAAGGATCTTTTGAAACGTTCCGTTCGGCAGCGTAGCGATAGGAGCCTGTTGTTGCGATTACTCCTCTGAGCGGCCATAGTGTCATGCAGAGGGTGTCTGGAGTTACCCAGGATGCCCTGCATTAGAGCCCTCATCCTTCTCTCCAGCACAGCTCCCACAGAGTCCACACTTATCCCCATCACAGAGACAACACTTCTTGATCAGCCTGTCAATCCGGTTACTGTCTCTCGAGGTCAGACTGTCACCCCAACACGCAACCCCAAAGAACACGGCACTAGCTACCACAAACTGGTAAAAGATGTGCAACATTTGACTGCTCACATCAAAGGACCTCAGTCTACTCAGAGAGAAAAGTCTGCTCTGATTTTTTTTGTAGATAGCATTGGCCTGAGCTGACCAGTCCTGTCTGTGGTCCAGGTGGACTCCCAGATATTTATAGGATTGAACCACTTCAATGTCCTGTCCATTTACTGTGACCGGTCGATGGGAAGGGCTCCTGTGAAAGTTGATTATCATCTCCTTGGTCTTGGACGCATTGAGGATCAGTCCATTTCTCTCACTCCAGTCTGAGAAGGCAGCCACCACCTCCCTGTACTCTGCTTCATCCCCCCCCTTCACACATGCCACAATAGCGGTATCGTCCGAGTAATTTTGTACATGGCATGTAGCAGAGTTGTGTGCGAAGTCTGCAGTGTAAATAGTGAAGAGGAAGGGAGCCAGAACGGTACCCTGTGGTGCTCCCGTATTGCTCACAACAGTCCCAGACACGCTCTTCCCTAACCTGACATACTGTGACCTCATAGTGAGGTAGTTGTAATGTATTTTGTAATAAATACAAAAATAATTTGTATTTATTTGTAAATAAATGGGACTACGGATGAAAAATAGCCGTTTGGATAATTCTGGCATATTTACAGAAATGTTCATTAATATGCACTGTCCCAGTAATAAATAAATAAAAACAAATCAATTGTATTTATCAACATGTGTGACATGTATCAACATGTGTGACATGTATCAACATGTGTGACATGTATCAACATGTGTGACATGTATCAACATGTGTGACATGTATCAACATGTGTGACATGTAACATGTGTGACATGTATCAACATGTGTGACATGTATCAACATGTGACATTGGTCTCTTTATATGGTCCAATATCATGTGGTCTCTTTGTTCGACTCTCACATCTGAAAACAGTTTTTTTAAGTCTCTGAGAAACTAATGTTGTGATTAAGGGAAATACAAGAATTAATTGAATTTTAATATACATACAGTATAAACCAAAAGTTTGGATACCTTCTCAAAGAGTTTTTTATTTTCATGACTATGAAAACTGTAGATTGACACTGAAGGCATCAAACCTATGAATGAACTCATGTGAATTATGTATGTACTAAAAAAGTATGAACCAAGTGAAAATATGTGTTATATTCTGGTTCTTCAAAGTAGCACCTTTTGCTCTGATTACTGCTTCACTCTTGGCATTCTCTGGATGAGCTTCAAGAGGACCTGAAATGGTTTCAACAGTCTTGAAGGAGTTCCCATGAGGGTCTCAGGCCTCGCTCTTCCACACCAGCACCATGTTACGGTCCGTCAGAGCCACCAGGTACCGCAGCTCGGGGTCCATGGTCACACAGTTGATGGAGGGTCCTTCCAGAGGCCCCCGGCTGCCTTTGTGAGGGGCCGGCCACTCCACCACCTGCAACCAGAAACACACACCTGTTGTCATATACACACACACCTGTTGTCATATACACCTGTTGTCATATACACACACACCTGTTGTCATATACACACACACCTGTTGTCATACACACACACAGACACACACACACACACACACACAGTGTAGTCAAAGTAGCTGCAATAGTTTAAATTATGAGTCTGACCTTACTCTGTCGTCACAGGAGGTACCAGTGTGAGACTGGTACCTGTGTGTGGTGATGGTACCTGTGAGTTCATGGTACCAGTGTGTTCATGGTACCAGTGTGTTCATGGTACCTGTGTGGTGATGGTACCTGTGTGGTGATGGTACCTGTGTGTTCATGGTACCTGTGAGTTGATGGTACCTGTGTGGTAATGCTCTGGTCCTCCAGCCGCCTCACGTGATAGGTCCACAGTCGTCCCTTGTCGTCTCCACACACCACATACGAGCGTCCTGGACACACACTACTGTCAGACTGTACAACGAACACATGCTCCTACACAACACAGGGACTGGACACACACTACTGTCGTATTATTATCTTTGTGGTGCCCTGAGCTCAAAGGTACCAGGTGAGGTCTTACCAGGGCAGGTGCTGAGGGCGAGGTAGGGCACCTGGGTGGAGGCCCACTGCAGCTCAGCCAGGACCACGGCCCTCACAGAGCTGCTCTTCCTGGTCCCCTTCTGCTGACACATGGTCTGGCTCCAGCTCCACAGATAGATCCTGCTGTGAAGATGGTTCTTTGAGGCTGGGAGACATCAGGGACCGAGACAGCAGAGGCATCAGAGAGACATCAGAGACATCAGGGACCGAGACAGCAGAGGCATCAGAGAGGCATCAGAGAGACATCAGAGACATCAGGGACATCAGTCACATCAGTCATCAGTCACATCAGGGACATCAGACTGATCAGTCACATCAGAGACATCAGTCACATCAGGGACATCAGTCACATCAGGGACATCAGTCACATCAGGGACATCAGAGACATCAGTCACAGCAGTCATAAGTCACATGAAACAGATGTCACCAAACATCTGTCTGTGGTGTTTGAAGCTGAGCTCTGCACTGAGAGTGAGAACTTACCCTGATGTAACACACTCTGAGTGAAGACTTACCCACGATGTCGTCTGAGAGGAAGCACAGTCCGTCCACCGTGTGGTAGTCGTGGTCGGAGTCCACCTTATCGTACACAGGGAACGTCACCTCCCTCTGCTGCCACCTGCAGGACACACAGGGAGCAGCAACCTCAGCACTCACTCTTGGAACGGGACCCCCATGTGTTCATAGTGAGTCCCTGCATGTGTTCATAGTGAGTACTAACCTGGATGTGGTGGAGGTCTGAGGGCGGCTGTGGCAGAGCAGGCCCTGGTCACAGGCTGACAGCAGGTGTTCATAGTGAGTACTAACCTGGATGTGGTGGAGGTCTGAGGGCGGCTGTGGCAGAGCAGGCCCTGGTCACAGGCTGACAGCAGGTGTTCATAGTGAGTACTAACCTGGATGTAGTGGAGGTCTGAGGGCGGCTGTGGCAGAGCAGGCCCTGGTCACAGGCTGACAGCAGGTGGGAGAGGGCGGCTGTGGGCGGGAGGCAGAGGTGCAGAGGGGTGGAGCTGCACTCTAACGTCATGAGTGGCCTAGAGACAGAAGAGCAGATCAATAAAACTAAACAGGACAGGTGAGGGAGGAGTGGGAACAGGTGAGGGAGGGGGTGGGGACAGGTGTAGAAAAAGAAGGTGACTTGGATGAACTTGCAGATCCAAAACAGAGTGTCGTTTGCAGACAGGAAGCACACACTCACAGGACTTTGTAGTTGTAGTGATTGTCCAATCCTCCGATGTCCCACAGCACAATCTTGTTGTCATAGGAACCAGCTGAAACATTTCAAACATTCAGAACGGTGCGTTTAGTATTCTGTTCCTTCCATCAGCTCATAAGGCCCAGTCCAGCTCCAGTCCACAACAGATGCTGATCCTGAAACCAACCTCCAGAGTGAGGTTTGTTAATCTTTGGCTTCAACAAAGGAAACTGAAATACCAGTATTAAAACGGAACCCAAGCCTGGCCTTAGCCATGTGTAAACTCTGGTCCATGATCATTTCCTACATGTACGTCTGGGTCTTACCATGTGTAAACTCTGGTCCATGATCATTTCCTACATGTACGTCTGGGTCTTACCATGTGTAAGGGTTAGGGTCAACGAAGAATGCGATAGTAAAATAATCTGTTCTGGTTCAATCCAAATATCAAGAAACTGAAGCCGGAGCAAGAGGAATGTTTAGTAAATGCCATTGTAGCAAAGATGTTGTGGTTCTACTCCCCACGGGCTCCGTTAGTGGCAAAGGAGATGGCTAAAGCTAAGCTACATGCTAAAGCTAGGCTACATGCTAAATGCTAAATGCCTCACTCACTCGGGCTCATTACATACGTCACGGTAAACTCAGATCCAATTGTTTCAATCTGCATTTTTCACCTTTTGAGTTTTTCTCAATGCTTAGTAATAATGGGAATGATCGCATTATTTCAGATTATTTGACAGTAGTGAACGTCTGGTGCCTCTAGACGGAGGAGCAAACAGACTAAGCTCTGCACGGGTCTTCACGTTTACTGTCATAATGAATATGACCTGAAGGAACTCAAATGGAATGGTAAAGAATCAGAGTGAGCTTGAAGCTCTGTGGTGGTGAAGTCTTACTGTAGAGGAAGTTTCCCTTGTTGGGGTTGAAGCGCAGCACAGACAGAGCTTTGCGACTCGCCCTGAACTCGCCGTACGCCACATTGTTTCGAGGATGAATTAGTTTGACCACGCCCCTTTTCCCTCCGGCCGCCAGGACACTGCAGGGCTGAGCTGGAGTGTTACGACCACAGGACATGAGGATGCAGCTCCAGGCCAGGCTGAAGAACTCCTACAGGAAATACATAAGACATGAGACAGCAGCTCCAGGCTGAAGCAAAGAGAGGACATGAGACTGCAGCTCCAGGCTGAAGCAAACAGAAGACGTGAGACTGCAGCTCCAGGCTGAAGCAAACAGAGGACATGAGACTGCAGCTCCAGGTTTAAACAAACAGAGGACATGATACTGCAGCTCCAAGCTTCAGAAATCCTGCAGGAAAAATACAGGTCCCCTAATGACTGAGGATCCACCATCTTCCATCGTCTTCTTTCCATTGACTTTACATGTTTTTATAAAGCGGTCTACTCCAGGTGTGTGGCCGCTGATGTCAGAACGGCCTGTGACTAATCAGATAACTGGATTATGTTTTGAGCTAGCACAGTCATAGGTACATGTAAACAAATCTATCACGACCCTTTACTAAATCAAATATTCTGGTGGTTTTTAAGTAAAACTGTGATAACCCTGATATGTGCAGGAGGGAATCCAGTCCTCAAAAAGGCCCTCACGGTCCAGCATTTGAAGGATCCTTGTAGAGGAGTGGATTCTCACATATCAGAGTTGAATATCCCGGTTCTACGACACTGAATGTGTAAATAGACGGAGGTGTGTAAACAGTGTGTAGCAGAGTCTTCCTCACTTCTCCAGGGACTTTGTACTTCTTCATGACCAGCCCCAGCTCACAGTCGATCAGACACACAGAGTCTCCTCCACAGGTGGCCACCACACAACTGGAGCCTGCACACACACGGCTTAGACAAGAGACCAGACCAGTGTGTGTGTCTGTCTGTGTACAGCTGTATACTGTGTGTGTCTGTGTGCGTGCGTGTACAGGTGTATATGTGTGTGTCTGTGTTACCTGAGGATGAGGGCTGGAAAGCGCAGGCCCACAGCTGCGTGCTCAGGTCTTCACTACTGTCCTGTTTACTGTGACACTGCAGCACATGGTGAGTCCTTAGACACACAGGGCTCTGCTCCTGACCACAACACAAACACACAACAACAGTTACACACCTCAACCACAGACACAGGGGTCCTCTCCTGACCACAACACAAACAGACACACAACGAGTTAAGAGTAATGCGTTTCCCGTTCATTACCCAACTACAAGGAATTGTTAAACAGTGCCAGCCCTAGAGTATGTGTACCTGCAGTAAGAGGTCTGTGTGTGTGTGTGTATGTGTGCACCTGCAGTAAGAGATCTGTGTGTATGTGTGTACCTGCAGTAGAAGGTCTGCTTGTGTGTGTACCTGCAGTAGGAGGTCTGTGTGTATTTATGTGTGTACCTGCAGTAGGAGGTCTGTGTGTATTTATGTGTGTACCTGCAGTAGGAGGTCTGTTGTGTGTACACTCAGCAGGAGGTCTGTGTGTGTGTGTGAGTGTACCTCCCGTAGGAAGTCTGTGTGTGTGTGTGTGTGTGTGTGTGTGTGTGTGTGTGTGTGTGTGTGTGTGTGTGTGTGTGTGTGTGTGTGTGTGTGTGTGTGTGTGTGTGTGTGTGTGTGTGTGTGTGTGTGTGTGTGTGTGTGTGTGTGTGTGTGTGTGTGTGTGCACTTGTTTTCAACTCCTGGTGGGTTCCATAACCTGAGATTCCACTCACGTCATGGGGACTGGTTTTACGTGGTGGGGCCCGAACACCGGACCCCACTGGTCCAAGCTTAATAATCAATGGGTAATGCTTTTCTAACGGTCCTTATGCAGTCTCTGTAAAAATATGGAAAGGACCCCTGGAGGTTTACTTTCCTGAAAAAAGTGTGTTATGTGTCGGAACCCTGGTGGTGGGTTGCGGGATATCAAGGAGGGGCACACTGGGGCAATTTCAGTCCAGCAGGCTGGAGCCAATCATGGAGCAGCACAACAGAGGAAATCAGGTGTCAGGCTAGAAAAAGGTGCAAGTGTGTGGTTCATTAGGCTGCAAGAAATCATGGAGGAGCACACTGAAGCGCACGCTTACAAACCACTGGTAAGTGCTGACTACAAGTCATGACTTCAAATTGTTATATAGAATGATTACAAATTATTTGTTGTTTGTGCAGCTTAGTCAAGAGTCCCTAATTGATGAAGTCGACTCAGATTCTGACGATTTAACTGTCAAGAAGAAACCTGTAAAAAAGTATGGAAAAAGAAAAATCAAAAACACTTTTCTTCAAGACTCGGAAAGTGACGAACCAAAGGCAAATAAGATTGTTATCATGCAGCTGCAAAAGAAGAAAAATGGGGGGCGAGTATACAGCAAGAGACACTTCTGCCTCTACTGTTCAATGTCCTGCCACAAAATGTCCCGTCATTTGACTAGAAAACATGGAAATGAAAGTGACGTAGCCAGAGCATTGGCTCTACCTGTGAAATCTAAAGCACGTAAACTTCAGTTTGATTTGATCAGGAATAGTGGAAACCGTGAGCACAATTTTGAGGTTTTAAAGGCCGGCATTGGAACTTTAGTCCCAGCTAAACAGCCAAATTCCCCAGTTAAATCCAGTGAGTTTTTGCACTGTATAGACTGTGGGGCATTGCTTAAGCGAAAGTCGCTGTGGAGGCATGTGGCCAGGTGCCGGCTTTCACAGAAAGATGCCCAGGCTAAACCAGGTAGAAGTAGGGTCCAGTCCCTCTGCTCCCTAGCCCAGCCTGTACCGGAGGGCATCAGCAAAAAGCTGTGGTCTTTAATTTCGGCAATGCATCAGGATGAGGTCACGGGTGTTGTCAAAGCAGAAAAGGGGATTCTGAGACTCGGAGAGCACCTGTACTTAAAACACGGGCATGATAAGACAAAGCATGATTACATTAGGCAGAAAATGAGAGAAGTCGGTAGGTTAATTAACGAAGCAAAAACCGCAGGGAAACTGAAAACAATGAAGGATTTCTTTATTCCTTCCAACTTTAACCATGTGATTGATGCAGTCAGGTCTGTGGCTGGATATGATGAGGAAACAAATCAATACAAGACTCCATCCTTGGCCCTCAAACTCGGCCATAGCCTCAGAAAGCTAGCAGATATTCTTGAATGTGACTCAAAAATGGAGCATTGTGTTGATGAACTATTTATTAAAAACCTCCAACGAAGCCGGCTGCTTTTTGAGAAGAGGTGGGACGTCTGTGTTTCTTCTGCTGCCCTACAGACCCTCCGGCAAGCCAAGTGGAACACTCCGGACCTGCTCCCTCTGACTGAGGACGTTAGAGCCATGCATGCACATATTGAGGTATGTCGACCTGAATATGTGCAAACCCTAATAAGTGAGCCAACGTCTAAGCATTGGTCTAAACTGGCAGTTTTGACTCTTTGTGAGGTCATCATTTTCAATCGAAGAAGGGAAGGTGAGGTTTCAAAGATGCCACTGACAGCCTTTACCTTAAGAAGTAAGACTGGGATCCATTCTGACATTGCTCTGGGACTGTCCCAACTTGAGAAAAAGCTGTGTCAGCATTTTCAACGCATTGAAATTAAAGGGAAAAGAAGTCGGAAAGTGCCGGTTCTTTTGACTCCTGAAATGATTGCTTCGATGGAGGTGCTGGTGGAGAACAGAAGGGCCTGTTCCATCTCTGACCATAACCCATACTTCTTTTCCCGCCCGGGCGCAGACAACCACATCAGGGGATCAGACTCCCTACGCCAGGTAGCCAAAGAATGTGGTGCGGTGCATCCAGAGATGCTATCCTCAACCAAACTTAGAAAGCACATAGCTACTATGTCTACAGTTCTCAATATGAAAGAGAATGAGATGGACATACTTGCCAACTTCCTCGGCCATGACATTCGCATCCACAGGCAATATTACAGACTACCAGAGGGGACACTGGAGCTGGCCAAAATCAGCAAAGTGTTGATGGCCATGGAGCAGGGAAGAGTGACGGAATTCGAAGGAAAGAGCCTCGACCAGATACAAATTGAGCCTGAAGGTAATTCTTGATATTATTAAAATATGTATGATTTTTTTCCCCTAAAGGCCACTTGTATTTTTATTTTCTGTGCGACAGGGAGAGCAGTAGAGATCCTCTCACAAACGGACGGGCTAAAAGAAACTTCAAGCGGAGAACCTTCAACTATTCATCCAGATGCACCCCATGGTAGTGGCAGTGCCCCTTCTGGTAAGTGTACCAGGTGGGGGATTACAGCCAGGCTGCTTGGTCCTCACCCTGGGAGTGTATATTGCTAATATATTTTTATTTCTCTCCCTAGAACGTGTAAGAAAGCCATGGTCTGCATCTGAGGTGAAGGCTGTGGAGAAGACCATGACACCTTTCATACAGACTGGAAAGGTCCCTGGGAAGTCTCACTGCCTGGCCTGCATTAATGCCTCACCAGATGACCTTAGACATCGGACATGGAGTGGCATTAAATTCTATGTCAAAAATAGAATCACTGCAATTCGAAAACAAAATCTAAAATAAAATTCCTTTAAAATAGTTGTTTGGTTTCTATTGACTGTTTTGTATTACTTAAAGTCTTGGTAAAAAAAGATTATGTCTATGGGTCCCATTCTGAACGGCCCTGTCAAAGGGACCCACCAGGTAACAAAAACGTGTATGTGTGTGTGTGTGTGTGTGTGTGTGTGTGTGTGTGTGTGTGTGTGTGTGTGTGTGTGTGTGTGTGTGTGTGTGTGTGTGTGTGTGTGTGTGTGTGTGTGTGTGTGTGTGTGTGTGTGTGTGTGTGTGTGTGTGTGTGTGTGTGTGTGTGTGTGTGTGTGTGTGTGTGTGTGTGTGTGTACCTGCAGTAGGTGATCCTGGTCCTGAGTCTTGCTGTGTGGAGCTCCTCTCTTGCTGGGCTGCTGGCTGACCCGGTCCTCCCTGGTCTTGGATGCAGACTTGGGTGTGGTCTTGTGGGGACTCAGGGCCGGCTTCCCCCTGGACACACTGGTTCTCAAACCTGCTCTGGGGGACGCAGTGGGACCCGCTCTGGGGGACGCAGTGGGACCCGCTCTGGGGGACGAAGTGGGACCCGCTCTGGGGGACGTAGTGGGACCCGCTCTGGGGCACGTAGTGGGACCCGCTCTGGGGCACGTAGTGGGACCCGCTCTGGGGCACGTAGTGGGACCCGCTCTGGGGCACGTAGTGGGACCCGCTCTGGGGCACGTAGTGGGACCCGCTCTGGGGCACGTAGTGGGACCCGCTCTGGGGCACGTAGTGGGACCCGCTCTGGGGCACGTAGTGGGACCCGCTCTGGGGGACGCAGTGGGACCCGCTCTGGGGGACGCAGTGGGACCCGCTCTGGGGGACGCAGTGGGACCCGCTCTGGGGGACGCAGTGGGACCCGCTCTGGGGGACGCAGTGGGACCTGCTCTGGGGGACGCAGTGGGACCCGCTCTGGGGGACGCAGTGGGACCCGCTTTGGGGGACGCAGTGGGACCCGCTTTGGGGGACGCAGTGGGACCTGCTCTGGGGGACGCAGTGGGAGTGTGTTTTGTTGGTGCTGCTGGAGAAGCTTCCCTCTTTCTCTTTAACCGGGTCACGTTCTGTGTGGACCAGACAAGGAAGTTAGCGCCCATGCACGTTAAACTGAGGATTACTTTTACATAACATTTCAAAACCGTGCGATTACATGTTTGTTATGGATCTTCTGATGCTGAGTAAATGAGTGAAAGTAGCATTTGAACTGCTTTGAGAGCTATTCAATCCAAAGGTTACCAAACTGCACGGTTAGCCTCCTAGTTATTAGTTTAATAATAATATAACATTTGGATCCAAACATCTGACCATCTGGTGTGTTGTTGTGTCACTGGGCAAGACACTTAACCTCAATTTACCTAAAGCCAAAGCTGAAAAATCAAGGCCGTGTCTTTGTTGACGGAGCAGCAGCCATCTCCCTGTGGACCCACCTCCTGCAGGAGGATCAGAGGGACTGTGGACCCACCTCCTGCAGGAGGATCAGAGGGACTGTGGACTCACCTCCTGCAGGAGGATCAACGGGACTGTGGACCATGTCCCTCAGAGACAGAGGCACGTACCTCATGATGCAGTGGAGAGGACTCTTTCGTCTCTTTAATTTGGAACTTGAAGAACTCTGCTGCCATGATGCCCACCTGCACAGGACACAGAGGGACGTTAAGAGGACAGAGGGATGGTAAGAGGACAGATGGACATGACAGAGGAGACAGGACAGGATAGAGGAGACAGGACACAGGGGAAAGTGAGTGAAGGGGTTAGAGGAGACGGGACAGGAGAGGGGAGACAGGACAGAGGACACAGAACAGGAGAGACAGAACAGGAGACATAGCCCACAAGGAAAAGTGTGTGAAGGGGACATAGGGACAGGACAGACAGAATAGAGGGACAGGACAGAGGAGACAGGACAGAGGAGACAGGACAGGAGAGACATAACACAGGGGAAAGTGTGTGAACGGGACAGAGTGACAGGACAGACAGGAGAGAGGAGACAGGACAAAGGAGACAGGATAGTGGAGACAGGACAGAGGAGACAGGATAGAGGAGACAGGATAGAGGAGACAGGATAGAGGAGACAGGATAGAGGAGACAGGACAGAGGACAGAGGGACAGGACAGAGAGACAGGACAGAGGAGAGAGGACAGAGGGACCCTTACCCTCCACTTGGTGAAGTCGCTGACGGAGCTGGGTCCGTACCTGACCTGTTGTGTGGCCGTTTGGACAAACTCAGCCTCGAGAGTCTCTGTCCTCTCTGTGCTCAGGGACCGGCCCTGGAAGCTCTTCTGCCACACACACATGATCTGTAACACACACAAACACACACATATGATCTGAAACACACACACACATGATCTACAACACACACACACGATCTACAACACACACACATTCATGATCTGAAACACACACACACACACGATCTACAACACACACATGATCTGTAACACACACACACATGAGCTATAACACACACACATGATCTGAAACACACACACAATCTATAACATACACACACATGATCTAAAACACACACACACACACATGATCTGAAACACACACACAATCTATAACATACACACACATGATCTAAAACACACACACACACACACGATCTGAAACACACACACACACAATCTATAACACACACACAATCTGTAACACACACACATGATCTATAACATACACACATATATGATCTATAACACACACACACATGATCTGAAACACACACACACATGATCTGAAACACACACACACAAATTATCTGAAACACACACACACAAATTATCTGAAACACACACACACACAAACACTCAGGCTATGCACACGTGAGGACCATGTGTGTACCCCGGTGTGAGGACCATGTGTGTACCCCGGTGTGAGGACCATGTGCGTACCCCGGTGTGAGGACCATGTGCGTACCCCAGTGTGAGAACATGTGAGGACCATGTGCGTACCCTGGAGCGCAGGTTGTCGGTGTAGACGTAGCGCAGGTGGTTAGCTGTAGCCGTCACGTCCTTCCCATTGAACATGTGCAGCTGCGGCAGGAGCACCATCAGTTTGTGGTTATCACTCACCTGCAGCAGAACACACTTAGCACTCCTCCTCACAATTCCTTACATCTCCTCACACCTCCTAACGCACCTCCTATACCAGTCACTTCCTAAAGCACCTCCTATACCAGTCATTTAGTAGTAGTAATCTTTATTTATATACCGCCTTTTCACTACAGATCTGAGTCTCAAAGCGGTTTACAATTGTTAATTATGGGCATTTATCTCTCACTCCACACAGAGATGGGAGCGGGGTCGCCAGTACAGGAGGCGCATGCTAGAACTATTGGACATATTTTTAGTGGTAGGGGAAACCGGAGTACCCGGAGGAAACCTACGCAGACACGGGGAGAACATGCAAACTCCACTCAGAAAGGCCCTGGTCCGACCGGGATTCGAACCCAGGACCTTCTTGCTGAGAGGCGAGAGTGCTATCCACTCAGCCACCGTGCCGCCCACCATTACCGCACCTCCATTACCAGTCACTTCCTAACACCTCCTTACACACCTCCTATACCAGTCACTTCCTAACACCTCCTATACCAGTCACTACCTAATAGAGCCCCAGAGGAGCCCCAGAGGAGACCCAGAGGAGACCCAGAGGAGACCCAGCGGAGACCCAGCGGAGACTCACAGTGATGTAGAGGTTGTCCTCCAGGAGCAGCTCCTGCAGTGAGACCAGGTGCTGTAGGCTGCAGACCTCCTCCATCTGGTTATCACTCAGGTCCAGGTGTGTGAGAGCAGGCAGCAGCAGAGCCCCAGGGAACTGCCTCAGCCTGTTCCTTGACAGGTCCAGCCTCTGCAGGGACCTCAGGCGGGACATCAGGGCCAGGGGCAGGTCCTCAGAGCCCAGGCCCATGTTAGACAGGCTGTACAGAGGGAGGAGGTCAGAGAGGCTGTACAGAGGGAGGAGGTCAGAGGAGGAGAACAGAGGGAGGAGGTCAGAGGAGGAAGACAGAGGGCGGAGGTCAGAGGAGGAAGACAGAGGAGGAGGAGATCAGAGGAGGACAGAGGGAGGAGGTCAGAGGGAGGAGATCAGAGGAGGACAGAGGGAGGAGGTCAGAGGAGGAGGTCAGAGGGAGGAGGACAGAGGAGCTCCAGCCCAATATCAATAACCAATGCAAATTTTCAGAATGAGAGTTTTAAGACAATTATACAGATTATAATTAACAAACTTAATCTAAAAACATTAATCGCCGTGTCCAGTTAAAGCACATCTACTTTACTTCAGGCGTGTCCAGTAGGAATGGCTCCTGTTTTTTAATAAAGTTACAGAAATGTGTTTTTTTTGCAGCAGAACTAACTCTAAGGAGTGGATTTGTTCCAGTTGGCTTGATTTCGGGGAGCCTCTCTCGATGAGGAGTTTTTCTGTGATCTTCGTCATGACGGGACTGTGTGGAGAGAAAACACACCATCACAAACTTTTACGTTAATCACATCATTCTAAAGAAAACCGATGGTTTCTGACACTACAGAGTTAGAGAGAATGAGACAATAATATCTAAAAATAGGGCTGCACAATATTGGAAATTAAGTGTTTAGCATTTCCATAATGATATTATTGCGATATTTTTGTCTTTCACCCAAAATTGTATCTGCAAAAATAAGCACAACATTAATGACATTGAAATGCAAAAATGTTGATACTTCTCTTTTTTTCTTGTGGAAAGTTGATGTGTCTGTTTTGTTGTTTTTAATGGAGGAAAAATCATGCATCTTTTCAATACGGATATTGCCGGTACCAATATTGCGATAACGATATTTTTTCGATATAATGTGCAGCCCTGTCTAAAGACACACTTTTCTATTCACATGGAAATATACAAGCGGAGAGAGTCATAGAGTCAGTCACACAGTCAGTCAGAGCCTTGTTTATAAGTTTGTTATAAACACCAACAACATATGGTGTTATAAGATCGTTTCCAAACTGTTACATAAATCATTACATTAATGAGGGAGAAAAAACACATCGACCCTTTAATGACTATCACACACGTAGCCTATAACAATACCTCACACACATATGTAGCTTATAACAATACCTCACACACACATGTAGCCTATAACAATACCTCACACACACGTAACCTATAACAATACCTCTCACACACACGTAACCTATAACAATACCTCTCACACACACGTAACCTATAACAATACCTCTCACACACACGTAGCCTGTAACAATACCTCACACACACATGTAGCCTATAACAATACCTCACACACACATGTAGCCTATAACAATACCTCACACACATGTAGCCTATAACAATACTTCACACACGTGTAGCTTATAACAATACCTCACACACATATGTAGCTTATAACAATACCTCACACACACATGTAGCCTATAACAATACCTCACACACACACGTAGCCTATAACAATACCTCTGTCCAGCAGTAGTGCGGTCCGCAGGTTAAAAACGGTGTAAACTTCAGCTGAAACCACAGATTGTAAACAAGACACAGAAAAACAAAACAGATCCTTGTTTCCCGCCAGCAGGGGTCAACGTCACGTGGCCGGAAGTCCAAACTCCGCCCCCAGTGTCAGATCTTTACTGCACGTTGCTCCATCTTGTGGAGAAATTGAGCGATTACATCGAACAGAAAATTATTATCTATTTTCATGATTTATTCAAAACTAGCACAATCCGTTTCTTTCAGAGAGTTCAGTAAAGTGCTGATTCAGAATTTATCTGTATCTGCAGAAGTCAAAGGATCTTTACATTCAAACGACAATTAGATTTATTCTCTTGTGCTTCATTCATTAAATGGTCAATAACTCCTAGGATCATTAGATTAACAGATCCTTTGTTCGTCCCACAGTGGGGAAATTTCAGTGTTGCATCACAAGTTATAGAACAGTAGGAAAGAGGAGCACACAGCACAAGATACATGAACAACAGCTCTATACCAATTAAAATAAAACAAAATCTCTTAACTCTAGCATCAAAGAACAAATATAAAATCACAATAAATCTGCATAAAACGGCCTTAACATTGTTAACATTATGTTTTTATGTATGACATTATGTTTTACATCTGTACATTAGCAGCTGTATGTTTACATCTGTACATTAGCTGCAGGATGAATTAGTCTGTCACTGAAACTGCTCTCCAGAGCAGAGAGAGTGTCCTGCAGGGGGTGACAGTCATGGTCCACAGATGTTAGTTTGCTCAGGACCCTCCTGTCCCCCACCTCCAGGGAACAGCCCAGGACAGAGCTGGACTTCCTGATGTTCCAGCTTCTCCCCTCTCTGTGATGCTGCTGCTCCAGCAGACCACACTGTACAAGAACCTCCTCAGCGGTAGAGCCTCCTCAGCAGTAGGTCATCCTCAGCAGTAGAGCCTCCTCAGCAGTAGAGCCTCCTCAGCAGTAGAGCCTCCTCAGCAGTAGAGCCTCCTCAGCAATAGATACTCCTCAGCAGTAGATCCTCCTCAGCAGTAGGTCATCCTCAGCAGTAGAGCCTCCTCAGCAGTAGGTCATCCTCAGCAGTAGAGCCTCCTCAGCAGTAGAGCCTCCTCAGCAGTAGATCCTCCTCAGCAGTAGGTCATCCTCAGCAATAGATACTCCTCAGCAGTAGATCCTCCTCAGCAGTAGGTCATCCTCAGCAGTAGGTACCTGTTAGAGTCCACTCTCTCATTGGCCCTGTTGTTCACTGGGGCTGGAGCGGCACCATCTCGGCTCTACTTCAAGCTCCTCCCGTGTGACACGGTATGCTGCAGGTCCTGGTTCGTTGGAGCCAACAGGACAACATCGTCCGCAAACAGCAGAGATGAAATCCTGTGGTCTCCGAACCGGACCCCCTCCGGCCCCTGGCTGCGCCTAGAAATTTTGTCCATAAACACAGTGAACAGAACCGGTGACAAAGGGCAGCCCTGTCGGAGGCCAACATTCACCGGGAACAGGTCTGACTTACTGCCGGCGATGCGAACACAGCTCTGGCTCCGGTCATACAGGGATCGGATGGCCCTCAGCAGAGGACCTCCGACCCCGTACTCCCGGAGAACCCCCCAAAGGACACCCCGGGGAACACAGTCGAACGCCTTCTCCAAATCCACAAAGCACATGTGGACAGGTTGGGCGAACTCCCATGAACCCTCGAGTATCAAGTCGCACAATGAACTTTTTTTCCTTCATGATCCTGTTGTCTTGAGAGAAAGGAGGATGAGAAAACCTCTCAGCAATTATTGGCTGATGTAAAACATATTTCCTTTACAATCTACATGTCTACAGTTGAGAGGATGGCTCATAAATTGTGTTTTTGGAACAAATATGGATCTTAATCGCGCTCAACCACGGCTTGTATCACCGTGAGGCCAGCCTAAGCGCATGTGAGCGCAGAAGTCGGCTGCATACAATTCCATCGATCCTCCTAGGATGAGAAAGCTCCTTTCTCATCCTGGTTTATCTGCTAAGGGCAGCAACAGGTTTGGCAAACATACATATAACACATTTTAAGATAAATTAAAATGCACTTAGGGTAATTTTTCAATGACTATAGGAATGATAAGAAAGAGAGGTGGGTTAGTGTAGTGTAGTGGTAAGTGTAAGACGGTTGATTTCAGAAATTGGATGCACCCGGCTTCAGCAAAACAGGAGTTTATAGAGGACGCACGCGTTTTGTTTTACTTTTTAAAACTCATTGGACTTATTTACAAATGGAGGATTACATATCTACGCTCAAACTATTATCTGGACTTAAACACGGAACTGGTCTGAACTGAAGTGGCCTGTGCAGGTCATTAAGGTAAGACCCATAACTCATAGTTTTGCGTTTTGTATGAACAAACAATGCGGGCATGAAACATATTTTGCTGTAGCCAAAAAAATTGTGAATAAGCCGCTCTCTTGGTCCAGTTGATTTATATGATATATATGTTCATCTGATTGGGCTGAAGTCAGTGCTTCACCGGTGTTTCCACATTCACAGTGTTGGTGTTGGTGTTTAGTGCTTACAGCACAGAGAGAGATGAAGAGTGAACAGGACTTCAGCAGCAAAACAGTCTTTTCTAGATGGAAATATTGGCACTATTTCAAACTCACTGAGGTTAAAGGTAAAAACGCACACGTCGAGTGCACATTATGTTCCAGAACAAAACGACAAAGTAACGCAATAGTTACTTTTACTGGTAACTAGTTACTTTTCTAGTGGAGTAACTCCGTTAGTAACTCAGTTACTTTTTGGGAGAAGTAACTAGTAACTATAACTAATTACTTTTTCAAAGTAACGTGCCCAACACTGGAAGTATCTGTATTCATATAAAATAGATTGTGTATATAATTTATAATCCCATACTAAGACTGGGAATACTGTATAATTATTTACATTTACTGTGAATAATAACAGTGTCAGTTTCTGCCCGACCCCCGCTCTCTGCACTGGAGAAAAGTCCGACAATGTTCTATTTGATCACCAAACAGACCTCCAGTATGACAATAAAGGGGGTATTTCTCGCCTCAAATGTTATTAGAATTAACTTTTATGTCCTAATTAAATCGTATTTTACACTTTTTACCTTAATCCTGGCTCCCGTGTCCTTCCTTCTCCGCGTTGAGTTGGCAACAGAGCAGGCCTGCCCCAAAACGCTCTTCCCTGACGCGCCTCCAGAACGCTGCCCTCTAGTGTCTTGGACGCGTGTGACGCGCCTCCAAGATGCTCTGTGACAGCGTCTGCCACAATTTGTCACAAGCCTTCCAAGACGCGCGTAGACGCGATTTTGACGCCCAAAACGCGGCCGACGCTCGAGTTGAACATTGTTGAACTTTTTGGGAGAAGACGTGAGCGTTGACCTGTAACAGGGTAAAAGTATCCTCTCTACACTGAATTTGGGTGTGGTGTGGGCGGTACTTCCCCTTTTAAAAGCTCAGTGCACCATCTCTCCCTGACACTCTCCCTCTGTCTGGTGTGAAACAGGTCAGTGTTGTCACAAATATTCTTTTTAAATAAGCAGACTTTTACTTGTTTTACTATGTTTATTATTGTTATGCTACGACTGACACTCTCCCTCTGTCTGGTGTACAACAGAGCTCGGGTCCTCCAGGCGGTCTGAAGGCCAACAGTTCTGTGCAGCATCTGGGCAGTGTTGCCAACTTAGCGACTTTGTCGCTAGATTTAGCGACTTTTCAGACCCTATAGCGACTTTTTTTCAAAAAAGCGACTAGCGACAGATCTAGACAAAGCATTAAAATCATTAAATGTTGTTAATGTTGAAATTATTTTTGTACATTTGTAGTTCTAAACATATTTAGGGTGTTTTTTACTCACTTTTGTCTCTCCCACGACGTTATTCCTCTCTCCTACAGCGTCCGTTACAGTTATTTGCAAATTGCCAATTATGCAAATTAGGCGATGACGTCATTTAGCGACTTCTAGCGACTTTTGGGACAGCCAATAGCTACTTTCCTTACTGAGGAGTTGGCAACACTGCATCTGGGGCCTGCTGGGGACAAAGCCATACCAGCACGGCCTATCCAAACCGCTGCATTGCCTGGACCCTGACTTTTTAAAGCTCACACCTTTAAGTTTTAGCTCCAGCCTCTACCCTCTCTAGTTTTTACCCAATAGCTTTTAATCATACTTTAAAGACTCTTTTGTAATAAATCCATTTTCCTTTTTACTTTTATGAACAAAAAGCTGCTGAAGTTGAAAACATAGACACAAGAGCTAACATGATAACTATATGTGATGCAATCAATGATAAAAATGCTAATTAAACCATTAGGTGTTAGCATTTATGGATATTACAATGTACATTGTGGTAAATAAATCCAAGGTAATCAAAGTGAGCCTGGCATAATGTAAAACCGAATATTAGCCTTGTTAGCATGTTTTAGGATATCTTGAGTTCCTGTAGCTAACTTGCCCAACACTAATTAGCTTGAATCTCACAAATAAGGCTAAAAGGTTAAAAGAGTTGCACACTATTATGTACAAAACGGATGAAAATATGTTTATACCTTGTTCAGACGACAGTGAAACCTCCTACAGTTTCAGCCCAGACTGCTGTCTGCTGCTGTGAGAGGCCCTTCCCCTACGTCATCGCCGCCATTTTGGCCCCCCCTAGCGTTTTTTTTATAGGTGCCACTGATGGATCTATTATATTAACTGGATAGGGTATTACTAGCTTGTAGCTGAATAACTCATGTGCTCGGGGGATTCTCGCGGTACTGCGGACTAGACCAGACTAAATTCACGTGGGCTACCCAGAAATTTTCCCCATAGGACTCAATGCATATTAAAACCAGTGGGGGAGGGTTCCAGCTCAAAAGTGGCCAAAATGACGTGCGCTGACATGCTGCAATACCACCCCGGGCCGATGGGGGTGGACCCAGAAGTAGAATTAGCCAATGCTAACATATAGCATTGGCAGACCTCTCAAAAACGTCTTTACAGGATGCTCCAAAAGTTGGCTCTTGGCCCAAAGCTCCGTTCCACATGTGTGTCAATGCTGAGGGGGGTGAATTTTTTAGGTCCACTCTAGTTTACTTGCTGTGAATTTCTGAAGTTTCTCGTTCAAATGAATGGAGCTCCGCCGGCTGACGCATGCGCAGATACGTTTTTTCACAATTTTCTTGTGGGCGGGACCACTCGCGGCCATTTTGGATTGCTCCAGTAGAGCACATTTTTTGGCCCATTAGTTAGAACGGCGGAGATAGGCGTGACTCTGTCCATTAATATATACAGTCTATGATTAAAACAGCTCAACCTCAGCTGACAGAGAACCTACAGCTTTCATAAAGGTCGGATTTTGTGGGGATTTTAGTGTCCCTTGTCATCCTGAACTTTTTTTCTACTTAAATCCTTCGGTTTTGTTTAAATCCACACTTTAGTGCCACAAACTCTGCTCGTCTGGCTCTGGCTCTAACTCCCGCTCTGATGAACTGCTCTGATTGGTCAGAGCGCGGCCGAGCCCCTCTGTGCACGTGCGTGAGACCTGGTGTGAGACCCAGACACGCGTGTTTGGCGCAACGCATTATCCACTGCGCAGAACCGGGAGGACCAGACGATGCCCAAATACAGGCGAGTTTCCCATAGATCTTTGCGAGTTTCCCATAGATCTTTGCGAGTTCCAGGCGACTTCCGCTAATCTTTCAGCCCCCATGCCGTCACAAAGCGCCACTGAGCACAACCATTCATTTGAATAGGGCGCCATCTTGGATCGCCGGGGCTTGGTGCCACTTCAAAGCCGTTTTTTTAACATAATTCATCTGAACATGTCAAAATGAACACCCGAAATATTATAAACACATATTGTAGTTATATATTCTGGATAGCAGCATATTAAATTCTAGTACTACTTTAATTGCTGATTTATTTTGCATAATCTATGTATAATTAAATTGTTTTTATTTTGTTTTTCTCATCTCAAATGTCCAAATAAAAAAATAAACAAACATTCATTCAGCATTAGCACGGCTCATGGCAATGTGAATGGAGACAGACAAACAACTGATAAAATAATTCCCTGTGTTTGCTGCTGGATTTAGTTTGTATCTGGCAACCTGAGTCAGGGAGAGTGGGAGAGGACTACAAAATATTGACTGTGACTGCAGTACCACTTTTGGCCATATTTTTACACACTGCTCCTTTAATGCAAGGGAAAATGTAGGTACCCCAACTTTAATTTAGCAAGTTTAGTTGCGCTTCGGGAGGAGACACGGAGGAGACAAGGAGGAGACACGGAGGAGACACGGAGGAGACACAGGGGAGACACAGGGGAGACACAGAGGAGACTCGGAGGAGACACAGGGGAGACGCGGAGGAGACACAGGAAAGACGCTGTTGGAATATTGAACTCCTGGACCAGTTAAAATTAAAATCAGTTTAGTATTGTTTCTGTTGCCAAATTAGCACTTGTTTGTGTAAATCTCAAAGAGCAGTGAGTTCAAGGTTAGTCTGTGTGAAATGGGAGGGGGACAAGAGGGAGACAAGAGTGGTTATCAGAGCAGGTGCAAACGTTGGCAGCGGGCCAGAAGGAGTCATAGGGTCCATACAGTTGTGATGTCAAGTGACCTTGGATGTAAAGTATAAAGATGTACAGGAGCAGTCACGGGGGCCTCTTTTCTCGTCCGACAGGAGAGCAGTGAGACGTCCCCGAGGCCACTCCTTAACTTGGACGCGAAGCGAGACTTGTGTTCGCAGACCGTTAATATTGTAATATTGCTTGCAAATCTTCAATATAACCTTTTGAAATCAGGTTTGGTATCTGTCATTTCTATTTACTGTTTTAACATTGGTTTTTGTCTCTTGTTGAACTAAAAGGACCTGCAGAACGAAGGGCTGTGTTGCGGCCTGTCTGCAGCTTCTGGGGCGGGGGAATTCTGACAAATTACTGCAGAACTTGGCGTCGCTCGAAACAGGATTCGACAGGAGACACAAGGCCCGGTCAAAGAAAAGATTAATTTGGCGCCAAAGTAAAACGGTAAGAATTGTTACCAACTAATTAATCTTTCCTTTCACCTGACCTGAGACCTAAAAATAAAAAACAAACAAACAAAAGTAGGGTAAATATTGAAGGATTTGCTTGCAAGTATTTTATATTTATTGGGATAATAGTATTCAAGTCTAAGTGACTTAAGAAAAGGAGAAAAACTGTGTGTTATCTCAGTGATTGATAGTCAACCTAGAAGGAGAACTGTGTGAGGATCTAAGTGATTTATGAGTTAAAAGGAGTGAACTGTGTGTTATCTCAGTGATTTAATAGTTGAAGGAGAAAACTGTGTGTTTTAATTAATTGACAATAAGGGAAAGGACAGGGACAGTGTCTAACTTTTCTCACTTTTAATTTTTCTCTTGGTGTGAATGAGTGATTGATGTTTTCTGTGGAAGTGACCATTGCACCACGGTCACAGTGAACGCAGTAATTTGGGTCGCGTAGGACGGGGTCACGATTCGTGCGTACATTTCCCCACCACATTTTGTGGTCGAACGGGGAGATACCACGATCTGACGCCCTAAGATTACGCACCCAATTGCTGATTCTTTACATTGATATTGATAACACAAGGCTTGTAATCTAGACGGTAGAAAACATGGCATCTGTAACATTAGATGAGTGGATAAAGGGGATTATACAGTATTTAGAGGGGACAACAGAGATTAAAAATACAACAACAAGGAGCGTTAGAACATGGTTAAAATCAAAAAAGAAAGATGGTATTTTAGCTAAGTCAAATTCACCCCCAAGTGAAGGGTTAATGAAACAACTAAGATAATTAGTTTTGGAGAAACGTTCTCAAATGCAAAGAGAGAAGCCGTTAGAAAATAAGAACATTCAAAAGTTGACAGATGAGGTTACTCTGATTTCAATGATGATCAAACTAAATGAGAAATGGATGACTGCTGCCAAATTGCAAAGTACAGCTCCTGATTCTTCCCCTCCACCGTATGCTCCATTGTATCCAGATTTAACAGAATTAGTGAAAAGTAAAGATTCTGCAACAATGGCTCCATTGATTACATTTGAAGAGCCAATAAAATGTACCGTGACTAGCACAGACGAGGAGAGTCTGGACAAAAAACACTCCCAAGAGGCGCTCAGACAGGTACGAGAGGTTACGGCTCAGACCACCCAGCTTCAGAAACACATTGATCAGGTTGGAGAAATTGTGGCGCAAGTGGCTGAAAGACAATTCAATGACACATTGACAAGACTGGAAAATGAGCTTAAAAACCACACGATTCAGGGAGGCCCATCTCACCCGCAGCATACCCCAAGGACTAGGGGAAATTCATTTGCAAATGGTTTCAATGGAAAAAACTTTATTAGTCATTCTAGTCCGAAATTTGAAGAGAATACTTCTCAGGCAGAAAAAGGAGCAGGGCTGCGAGAGCAGGGGGCGGGAGGAGTGACAGCTCAGAGGTGCGAGGGAGGCACAGACAGAGAGGCCCAGAAAGAAGTGGACCAGCACTCAGGGACTAGGAAGAAGACAGATTTAAGAATCAGCTTTCAGAAGCCGATTACAGTTAGGAAAGAAAGACAGCATCGTTATTTTACTCGATCTAATCAGACTATAGATGCAGAATCAAGCTCGTCAGACGAAGATTTATTGATGACCGGCTCAGATGCGTTTGTAACAGCTGAACACTCAGATGACGACGGTACGAGTGGGGAAATTTATTATCAACAGGAAAGGCGACAGAACAAGAGGAAAGCTAGGCGCAGACAAGGAGAAGATGTGTCGATGTGTCCAATTGTGGTATCGACATCTAGGTCCGGCAGAGAGATCAGGACATGTAAACCGCTCACTATAACTGAAATTGACTCTATAAAAATGAGAATGAAAGACCCAAGGCAGTATGGGGGCAGAGCATGTTTGTTGTCAATCCTGGAACACTATCCTGCTCAAAATTTAACCCTAAATGATCTCACTACCGTTCTCGGTGTCCACCTTCCAATCATGTCCACAGGATTTGAAAATGTTGCAGTTCGAGCCACAAACAGCTGTTCAGTGGA